AATGAAATGGGAAAATGCTTAGGCTATATGCTTGAAGGGAAAAACTAGAATTCAAAACTATGCAGGATGATCAAAGAATGTTGAAAAAGGAGCATGTGTGCCATTTTTGTGGTGTGCGATGTTGGGGGTGGATGGAGAGGCAGAGACTCATTTTTAAATTTTTTTTCAGGCAATCCTTGCACCTCAGCCTCTTAAGTAACAGGCGTACCACTGTGCTTGGCCTTGATGCTCCTTTCTATAAGATGTTTTGGAAGGCAATATACCAAAATGATGTGAATGGATTATTTTTTTTTTTTATATTTTCTAGAAAGAATTTACACCTTTATAATCAGATAAAATTAAAAAGTTGTTTAAAAGTAATTCTTTTATTTATTGCATGATCTCTTGGATTAATACTTGGTTTAACCTTGCTTCCTCAGCCATCCTGGACATCCTCTAGCTCATGGAAGAGAAAATTTGGTGTCCGTATTTGTCTCTGGGCATGTAAAGAACGTTCTTGACTCCATTGTATTTGTTCCCTATTTTGTCTTCTAAAGATTTTTTTTTTCTGTTCACATATGTTGGTTTTCCTTTTATCTTTCAGTGTTTGTTTTTTTTCCCTCTTTGCTTAGATTTTAAATTTTTAGCTTCACTTTATTTTCTGTTACCATGTCTTCACCCTTGGTCTGTCATTTGAAACGATGGCTCATTTTTACTTTTATACCCTCTAAATCATTCATTATTCTTTCTGAGTGTTCCACCAGATCTTAGAACTATTGAGAATTACTATGCCAGCCATTCCTGTTTCATTATTTAGTTAAATCTTCTTACTAAGGGCACATTATTTTTGACAGATATTTCTCAGCTCAGTTTGATTTAACAAAATTTTATGAGCACTTGCTCTTTGACAGGTACTGTGCCAGCTGTTCTGGTTAAGAATTGAATATGTCAGTTAATTCGATTTACAACTTAAAGTTCAACTCATCTCTGTCATTTTTTAGTTTCACAAAATCAACCAAATGAGTCGCAGTTGTAAATTTTGTACGTAGTTGAACCCATTTATTGCTAAATGAAGGAACAGAAATATGTTATAATTAAAAAGTAGATGTTTAATAAGCTGTCAGCACTTCTAACCCCTCTTAAAAAACTGTTTCCATGTCGTGAAATTTTGAAATCTAACATTTAGAAGCAGATCTTTACTAGTTGGATGGTTGGTTCATGGCCAGGAAGTTCTTGAGGTTACAGTGGCAGTGGTTGTTGTTGCTTGTTTTTGGTTTAATTTGTTGTATACTTTTCTTGTCCTCTACCATGTTGCTATTAAATGGCAAAATGCATTCGGTCACAATATATAATTGGTAATTTTGGGTGGACTGTTTTATACTGGCAGGGATTTACTGTATATCAGCTGTCTTTTGATCTCAGTTATGAATGATTCTGAATGGATTTAAAAAATTGTAATCATGTATTTAAAATGAAAAATAACTATCAATATTTCCAAAAGAACAGTCTAATTTTTATTTTATTTTTTGTTTTCAAAAAATGCTTTCTCTGAGAGATTAAAAACCCTTTGAAGGTATTAATTAATCCCTTCTCAGCTTAATCTCTGATATGTGGTGAGAAGACGTCTTTTTCTCTGTTGTGAAATGGAAACTGAGGTCCATACTATTTAATGCGATATTCTACAATAGCGCCTACCTTCTGCTGAGCTTCATTCATGTCTGTAGTCACAAAGTGAGTGGGTGTGCCCCTTTCTCTGGAACTTTGGAGACTAAGTCCTTTCATAAAACAGCAGGAGCAAATCTAAAGTCATTTCCAGAGCTACTTGCCTTTGGGTTAGTGCTCACAAAGGAGAAAATTGAAGCCTAAGGGAACATTTTAGAGAGAGAGATGAGTGTATGAAAATAGTTTTGCAGTAAATTGACTTTCTAAAAGTTTATTGATGGAGTTCAAGGGCCCTTCTGGCTCTGATAATAAAATCAGCAGGTTATGTTTTTCAGAGTTGAAATGGCAAGTCGTTTATCACTCTAAATTTAACTGAAATATGTTTTTAGGTTAAAACTGAGAAAAAAATTGTAGGATTTAATCTAAAGTGATTCGCATGTACATCTGTGTTCATAGAAGTATGTACTGTTATAAATACATGTAAAAATATCAGTGTGCACTGAAAAATATCAGTGTGCACTCTTTCATCATTAGGTGTGGCAGGCAGTATTCCAGCTATATAACTGAATTTCTCCGCTGATTGATACTTTTGTTTATGCTTTGAAAATAATTCCTCCACTTTGTTATAGAAATATTTAAATATTTAGACAATGTATTATATTTTTCCTGTCATTTAAAGTTGAAGTTTTTTTACTCTGCAGCAGTACCATAAACCTGTGTCTTTTTTTATAATTAAAAAAAATTTTATTGTCCCAGCACTTTGGGAGGCCGAGACAGGCAGATCACGAGGTCAGGAAATCGAGACCATCCTGGCTAACATGGTGAAACCCCGTCTCTACTAAAAAAATACAAAAAACTAGCCGGGCGAGGTGGCGGGCGCCTGTAGTCCCAGCTACTCGGGAGGCTGAGGCAGGAGAATGGCGTAAACCCGGGAGGCGGAGCTTGCAGTGAGCTGAGATCCGGCCATTGCCCTCCAGCCTGGGCGACCGAGCGAGACTCTGTTTCAAAAAAAAAAAAAAACATTTATTTTACTTTATTCATTTGTCCATTGAAGCATTTTATTTGTAAATATGTATTACATCGCTAGATGAAGAACCCCAGGATTTTCTCTCCTGTGTGTTTTTGTGTTGCTGCTTCTTGGTCCATGATGTGAGCTAAATCAGTACAATGAAACCAAACTGGTGGTATGGGAGCAGATTATTCTGTGATTTTTCTAGATTTTTCTAGATCTTTGAGTTGAACGTCAAATCTGGGGCTGATCACACTTGTTCACAACAACTTGGTCACACTGTGAGGTTCACAACAATTTTTCCAGCTCTGTGATCATCAGTGATTTCAGATTCGCCCACGTACCCATACTTTGTCATCACAGTTGATGAAGACACCATACAATGACTTTGGAACAAGGTCTAGTAAGAACCAGGTGTTTGCCTCTCTTTTCGGCATTGTCGATGCTCTTGAAAGCAGCAGACAGGACATTTATGCACACCATTACGGTGGCATGGAAAGATGGTGGAAAGAGCTCTCAGTGTCTTTGGGCATCTGTATCCAGGGCCTAGGGGAGCCTGTAAAGTGTTTTCTAATTGTGAGTAAAATGCAGGTGAAAGAGGATGACGTCATTAAGTGGAAAAAAAAGAGAAGACAAAAGAAGTCATAAAACATGAAAGAACGGACAAATCGATTATCTATTTTATAAACAGATAAACCATTATGAAAAGTTATTGGATTTGAGGACTGTTGGATTTTCTTAAGATAGTTTAGGCTGGGAACTTACAGGTTTATATTGGTGGAAAAGAGTTGTTGGGAGGATGCCAGTCCAATTCCTGGTAAATGCTTTCTGTTACTTTAGTATCTCATACTTCACTTTTCACATTAGCCTGTGGGTGATTTTAACAATTGGAAATATGCTGTTTGGTTTAGCTCATTTGGAAATAATGCTGTTTGGTTTAGTTCATATCTTAGTCATACTCACATCCTCAGAACTGAGCGCAGTGCCAAGCACATAATGGATGCTGAAGAATTGTTTGAGTAATGATTCCCTTGTTCCTTGTAACAAGTGAAAAGGGAGAAGTTAATGACTGTCATAGCAATCCTCAAGGCCTAAGACAGTGGCTCCCACATTATTTGCACTCAATGAAAAGAATAAAACCTTAAGTGATAATTTCGCTCTTTAACACAGTGCGAAATTATCACTTGAACCTAACAAACTTTATTTTTCAAAGTTCTCTGAGAGAACATGTTTGTTTTTTATTGGATTATAAATACACACATACCTAGCACATTTGTTCCAAAAGGAGTGTAGGTGGGAGATGGGGATATATCGCTGTGGTGGGGGCAGATGTTGTTCCCAATTGCACAAATCCTTCCTTCCATTTGAGGAAATCTTTCCTATGGGCGTGGTCTCTTCCTGCTCTTCCTTTGCCTGCTCTCCGTAGCCAGTGCTACTGATGATGTATTTCAGTACTAAAAAGTGAGAATTACGGCTTTGACTTCCCTACCCTTGGATTTGGCTCTGAGGGGCTCTTCTGTTGTAGATAGTGTGGCAAGACGATTCCATTTCTTGAGAGTAGGGCATACAGTTTAGTTGGCTTGGCATTGCCTGTATTCTTGCACTTAACAGGTACTTTGAGATGGGAATTAATTTGAAATTTTGATTTTTATAGTTTTCGTGATTTAAAATTAATGTGTTTATTTTGAAGGAAGTTGATTTATTAGTTTATTTAAAGTTTATTAGTTTATTTAAAGTTAATTATTAAGATGAGGAGCTTGGCCTTCTTAGGAAAGGTGAAATGGGTAATCAAATACTGAATTAACCTGTTTGAGATCCTTAAATCATTTTAATTGTGATTATCAACGTCATGAAATTTATGAGTCTCTTTTGAAGAAAACGAAATGTAGTAAACTTCTGGAATATGTCAAAAACTGTAGCCTGAAAAACATACGTAAACACTAGTTAAACCTTTATTCAGTATCATGGCATGTTGTCATTTGATCTTTCTTTGTTGATAAATTAATATTTAATACAGATACAAAGGAGGATAATGAAATTGCCTGGCATAGTGTTATTACAAGGTGGTTATCCAGTGATCCAGAATTCACTACGCTAATTTTTTAAACAGCATTGAATGAAATGACAAAATAAAAATTTAAGGACTTAGAACTCTTACAATACATTTTTATACCCCTGTCTGTGACAATCACCTCTTTATTGAAAATATACTGGGGAGATCCAGATGTTTCAAGTTCTAGTGTAAAGAGGACTCATGATAAAAACAAAAGTGGTAAGGGTGGGGCATGTAGTGGGAGGACTTCAGTTGGTTTTGGAGAAAGTGGTAACTAGTGCTTCTTTTCCCGTTCAGCTCCCTTGTGAAAGATGCTTCTGTTCCTCTGATTGATGTTACAAACCTCCCTACTCCTCGAAAATTCCTTGATACCTCTCAGTATTCTACTGCTGGAAGCTCAAGTGGTAAGTATTTAATTCTTCAGCCACTAAGCTTTTTAGTATGCCTCAGTTCCTAGGCAAAGACCTGGAGGAGCTTTTTGGGGGCTAAGCTGGGCTGGGTGGGCCTGAGGTAAGTGTGCTGGAACCTGTGATGAGCCCTTTGCAACCTTCAGAGCAAATAAGATGTACAGTGATTCATTGGTCTGTTGCATTATCAGGGTTGAAAAGTGGCAGCTGAACCTGGCCTGCCTGCTGAATCCAACTGCATCTGTGTTTTATTGGACCAGCCCTTCCTTCCTTCCTTCCTTCCTTCCTTCCTTCCTTCCTTCCTTCCTTCCTTCCTTCCTTCCTTCCTTCCTTCCTCCCTCCCTCCCTCCCTCCCTCCCTCCCTCCCCCCCCTCCCTCCCCCCCCCCCCCCTCCTCCCCCCCTCCCCCCTCCCCTCCCCTCCCCTCCCCTCCCCTCCCCTCTCTTTTGTCTCCCCTCTCTTTCGTCTCCCTTCCTCCGTCACCTCCTCTCCCCTCCCCTTTCTTTCATCTTGCTTTGTTGGCCAGGTTGGAGTGCGGTGGCACAATTTTGGCTCTCTGCAACCTCCATCTCCTGGGTTCAAGGGATTCTCCTGCCTCGGCCTCACAAGAAGCTGGGATAACAGGTGCCTGCCACCACGCCCAGCTGATTTTTGTGTTTTTAGTACGGACAGGGTTTCACCATGTTGGCCAGGCTGGTCTCAAACTCCTGGCCTCCCAAAGTGCTGGCGTTACAGGCGTGAGCCACCACACCTGGGCGACCAGCACTGTTTTTCTAAAGTTGAGTTTGAATGCTTTTTGATAGAGCATATGCTTTCCTTTGTGCTATAATATTTATTACTCCTAGTAGCTTTTACTCAGTTATCTCATGTATTACATTCAATGTCTGGTCCTGGGAGCTTTTGAGTGTGTGACCTCTGTCCTATGCTGTCTCCACTCCTAAATGTGCACACATCCACGTGTGCATACATAGTCATACCTGTAACACACTTTGAGGAAATATCCATAAACTTATTTTTTCTTCTTTGAAGACACCCAATATCTTATTGAACAAGACAAAGCCATTTTGGGGTTATGTTTAGGGTTGAGGGCAGGAGGGTATACTTTGAATGTAAAGATTTAGGGGAATCTTGTGGATTGTCTTAGACTTGCTTTTGCAGAGGGTTCAGCTCAACTGGGCTTGGAGACCTTCTGGACCTCTGCAGAGAGTTTCTCTGCTCTTATAACTTTGGGTTGGGGGAGAAGACTGGATGTCTTTTGTGGGATGCCCCACAAGTGCCTTCTTGTGGCAGCCAAAATCTTCATTGCATTTTAACAAAATTGTAGTGTTTATTATCATTGTCTTTTCAGATAAAAATTAGTTCTTATAGTTCTTATTAGTTCTGTAGAGCTTGAAATAATGAAAAGGTAGAAAAAAATAGAAAAACAATTTGGATTAAGTCAGTACATTTTGTATAACTAATTGGAAATATTTCTGTTGAGAGCTTAATATATTGTTGGAGCATATTTTGCTACCTTTAAAATGCCACTTAAAATTATTTTAGGGTTATTTAGGCATGGAATCTTGAAGTTTATTACTTTAACTTACAGGGAAGTATAGAATTTGATAATAAATTTTCCTTTGTTTAATTAGTAGCCAAATTTTTAAAAATTGCAAACATTTATTTTTATTATACAATAAATACAATAGATTGTACTCCAGTCTCTTCTTGGAGCTAGAAAGGTTTTGTTTTCTCCCTCTTTCTGATGTAATGTTGCTTTTGAGTTTTAACACTGCTCTGAGGTGTTGTAGACTGTTGAAATATGAAACAAAATGTATTTGTACCTTTGATTTATATTTTGTCTCTGCCTTTCATGGAAATTACCAATTGTTACATCTTTACTTTTTTATAATGTGAATCTTACTGCTTAGCCTGGTTATATTAATTTATGTAAATGTTGCCAAGTCAGTGGCCAAGTGAAATAAAAAATTTAATTATTTATGAAGAAATGACAGGGCAGGCTTTGCAAATAAGTGTTGTATAAATATAAAATAAGCTGATATATACCAATTATGGCAAATTTCAGTAGAAGCTAATTTTGCTACATCTGTTATTTTTACTATGATGGGCCTTACTTTTTGATAGGCACTTTATCTGTCAGCGTCTGGAGTTTGCGTTCATCACCTAGTGGAGTTCATGGTGACACTCTGACTTTGGTATTATTAGGAATTACTGTTGAAGGACTGCTTGGTAGTTGACTGGGGCTAGGAGCATTATGGGGACTGCTGGTAGAGATGTGTATAAACCTTTCTTTTATTTATTTATTTATTTATTTATTTGAGACAAGTGTTTCACTCTTGTGGCCCAAGCTGGAGTGCAGTGAGTGGTGCAATCTCGACTCACTGCAACCTCCTCCTCCTGGGCTCAAGCGATTCTCCTGCCTCAGCCTCCTGAGTAGCTGGGATTACAGGCATGCATCACCATGCCCTGCTAATTTCTGTAGAGACAGGGTTTCACTATGTCAGCCGGGCTGGTCTCAAACTCCTGACCTCAGGTGATCGCCCACCGTGGCCTCCCAAAGTGTTTGGATTATAGTCATGAGCCACTGCGCCCGGCCAGACCTTTCTTTTTAGATGAGTTCATTTCCTTGACTATTCTGAAGACTTGATCTTGTTTTTTTTTTTTTTTTTTTTTTTTTTTTGTGCATGACCAAAAAAAGGTAAAAATATTATTGATTAAAATCAATAATAGCAGAGGTTAATATGTGTTTAGTGCCTAGTATATGGTGAAGCCATGTCTTAAGTGCTTTACAACAATTTTATAACAATTTATTGTCAGTCCCATTTTACAGATGAGAAAACTGAGGCACAGGGAAGTTAATAATTGATAAAAGTTTACACAGTTGACAAGTAGTTGTGATTTCAGCTCAGAGCCAGGTTCGACTATGCTCATCTAACCAGTTTGTTTTGCTGAAAACAAGCTAGGTATCCTCTGTGTATTAATTTTCCACTCACGCAAACTTAGTGGCTTAAACAACATACATTTATTATCTTACAGTTTTGTAGGTGAGAAGTCTAACACAAATCTGATTGCAGTAAAATCAAGGTGTTGGCAGGGCTGTGTTTCTTTTTGGAGGCTCTAGGGGAAAACCTGTTTCCTTGCCTTTCCGGCTCCTAGAGGCCACCATATTCCTTGGTTCATGGTCTCCTTCCTCCATCTTCAAAACCAGCAACGATGGGTCACATTTTTCTCACGTTGCCTCTCTCTGACCCACTCGTCTGTGCTTCCTTCCTCTTTTTAAGGACTCATGTGATTAGATTGATTCCACCTGGATAATTCTGGCTACTCTTCCCATCTCAAGGTCCTTAACCTTAATCACATCTGCAGTCTCCTTTGCAATGTGACTAATCACAGGTTCTAGGGATTAGGACATGGATGTCTTTGGGCAACCATAATTCTGCTTACCACACTCTGCACTGCCCATTTTGTGACTTAAATTATCTTTAGGAGCAAGTGTAAAAATTTGACTTTCTTCAAATTATGTAGCGAAATCTTTTTCAGTCATTGCAGTCTAGTCTTTAGGACTCTATTAATCTGGATCACATTATTAAAGGGAATTGTATAAATGAGGAAGATATAAATTATGTAGAGAACTGCACAAAATGTTACTAAATACATATAAAATTATGGGACTGATGAAATATACTATAATAAAAAGCAAGAATTTTGTCTTATTCTTAATAATAAACTGTAAGTCCTAAGAGTCTATTTGTGAAGTGCTCTGCAAGTCCGCCTAGAAAGTAATAGCCGTTTTCAGCAGGAAATTTAACATAGGCTCTTAAAGCTCCTCTCTCATTTTGTGAAACAGTAAGATTGAGGGTGTAATCCATTAGAATTGACACTTTTATAGAGGAAGTTCCAGTAGGGAATCCCTGGGTAGTATGGCTCCCATTGGGGTACCATAAAATAAGATTGGAAGTGATTCCTAAGAACTTTCAGGTTATTATTAATTAAATGAGAATTCTGATTGCTTTTAAACAAATCGTTTTTCACAAGTCCTATTTTGAGGTAGAGTTGTGGGTGACTATTTTTTTAAAATCATACTTTATGTTCTGGGGTACATGTGCAGAACGTGTAGTTTTGTTACATAGGTATACCTGTGCCCTAGTGGTTTGCTGTACCCATCAACCCATCATCTACATTAGGTATTTCTTCTAATGCTATCCCTCCCCTAGCCCCTCACCCCGACAGGCCCCGGTGTGTGGTGTTCCCCTCCCGTGTCCATATGTTCTCACTGTTCAATTCCCACTTATGAGTGAGAACATGAGGTGTTCGGTTTTCTGTTCTTGTGTTAGAAGACCTGAATCCATCCTATTTTATGGCTGCATAGTATTCCATGGTGTATATGTGCCACATTTTCTTTATCCAGTCTATCACTGATGGACATTTGGGTTGGTTCCAAGTCTTTGCTATTGTGAATAGTGCTGCAGTAAACATATATGTGCATGTGTCTTTATGGTGAAATGATTTATAATCCTTTGGGTATATACCCAGTAATGGGATTGCAGGGTCAAATGGTATTTTTGGCTCCAGATCCTTGAGGAATCACCACACTGTCTTCCACAATGGTTGAACTAATTTACACTCCCACCAACAATGTAAAAGCGTTCCTATTTCTCCAGATCTGCTCCAGCATCTGTTGTTTTCTGAATTGTTAATGATCACCATTCTAACTGGCACGAGTTGGTATCTCATTGTGGTTTTGATTTGCATTTCTCTGATGACCAGTGATGATGAGCATTTTTTCATGGGTCTTTTGGCTGCATAAATGTCTTTTGAGAAGTGTCTGCTCATATCCTTCACCCACTTTTTGATGGGGTTTTTTTTTTTTTTTTTCTTGTACATTTGTTTAAGTTCTTTGTAGATTCTGGTTATTAGCCCTTTGTCAGATGAATAGATTGCAAAAATTTTCTCCCATTCTGTAGGTTGCCTGTTCACTATGATGAAAGTTTCTTTTGC